GCTCTATATGAATCCTATTGGCTAAGTTCTCTAACCGCACTATATTGAGGATACTAAAAGATGGAAAGTATACAATGTGTCATTCGAATCTATTTCTTTAATGTATTGTAGTAGGGCTGTGACAAACGGGAGAGGTACATCTGCCTCAACAATTACATTTGTGCTAATAATAAAATCACTCGATAACTAGTGTTCCTCAGTGTCTTACTCATCCCAAGTTGAACGGAATGATGGGAAAAATGTAGAGGGAGGATTTAAGTTATTGACTCATTTGTTTTGACAACCTTTTCGGTGTTGGCTCTTTTATTACAAAGAGACTGAGGTTGACTCTCTATTTGTGGCTCCCTCCCAATAAATTTGTAGACAATTAAGTAACTTACATTGAATCTTGAGGTGTGAACGCATTCTGTGTAGAAACGAAAGGTTACAGTTACAGGTTTCCTGAACCAAGACTGGATAGCAGTGATGCAGAAACATGCCTTAAAATGTATATGATTGCATTTCCAAAAATTTCCTTTTCCAATTAACAAAACTTGAATGGAGGGGACTCTTAAGAACGTTTTCTAGCCCACAACAGACCGCAGTAGTGTTACCTAACACAGCATGATACTGCATCATCAGTGTCTTGAATTATACAGGAGCATCAAAAAAAAAAGTAATTTTGTGGCTGACAAATAATTGAGCCTAAGCTTGGTTATGATTAAAACCATGTTGTGATTGTGATGTTTAGCAGGTAGTTTGACTTTGTGAGCTTTTTTTTTTTTTTTAACCAGTGCTCAGGCATATCTCAGCAAAAAGAAAATACACCAACTTTGCAGAATAGTGTGACGTGCTGTAGTAAAGCAAGTAAAAATGTAAACTTAAAGTAAGGCTGACTGCTACTTAATAGTTACCCACCCGTGGGAAATTTCTTTCAGCAAGACACTGGCACCTGAAAGAGAACATACAAAACAATGTCAATTTTTCTTTGTCTTGGAAGACTCTAGGTCATGATTTTTTCATGGGCACTATTATTATTATTATTATTATTATTATTATTAGTTGTTGTAGTAGTAGTAGTAGAAATAGTAGTAGCAGTAGTAGCAGTAGTAGCAGTA